GAGAGAGAGAGAGAGAGAGAGAGAGAGAGAGAGAGAGAGAGAGAGAGAGAACCTGGGATCTGGTGCAAATATTCCCTAATAGCTCCTGTTCCTGCCTCGAAATCCAGAGTAACAATTACCTGGGAAAAAGTACAATTTTCCTGATGAGAACATAGTATTGTCTTTTCTGGTGTAAGTAAAACCAGTGAAAGAGAAAAAAACTAAAATATTATCACTTACCTGTTCTAGACGGATCAAAATACTCTTCCTCGAAAGAAGGCAAGATGCTGCTGCTAACCCGTTGAGGAGGAATTACAAACAAATGCAATTTTCCATTACTGATTTTGCTGAAAGAAGAAACTTGTGTTCTACAAAGTATTTTGTTAGAGGCTCACCAAYGACGACTTTGTCGTCTTCTTATGAAAATAAAGGCAAATGTGATGACCATAATGAGGATTGCAGCTGCCAGTGATCCAAACAATGCTCCGTAGAAAGCTGGGCGTCTGCTGAAGAACTCACACTGAGGACCATGGTACTGCTCAAAGTTATTTTTGTAGCATCTGAATCAAAGAGTAAATTACAGTAAAAAATACCATTAAAATACATTTAATCTTTTAAATAAAAGGTATCAAAAAATTACTGGCTTACTTGCATATAGGCCCATTCTGAACATCATTGAAACAATCTCCATGCTGATGACAGTAACCAGGATTTGCTTTGCAAGGTCCAACACATTGCCATTTATTATCAATAATCTCAGCAGTGTAGTYGGCATATGCAGAGCAGTTAACATAAGAATGCAGGTCCAAAATGCCTGAGTTATGGCAATAAAAATACATAATGTTTACATTTTACCCAGTGACCTGGAACTAGGACAGTTGTTAAGTGTAAAGCAGTTACTGTATGTACTTGAAATTGGAGGTGGCTGCAAGGTGAGTTCATGCAATACTATGTCACTCCCAAAAGCCTGAGAGATGCCGACAAGGTTCTTTGTGTCGTTCAAGATATCAGTCAGCACAGAATCAAGCTGAGTGTTGAGAAACTGGATTTGTGTTTCATTGTTTTCATAGTTGTACAGCGCGACACTTTCTGCAACAACGCTTCCATTTCTTTAGTAAAAAAAAAAAAATCAGAAAGGAACAAAACAACAAAAAATAAACTTTCTTTAAAAATACTACATTGGATCCATATTTTTGCAGAGATTGTTAAATAAAAACTTACGATAATTTGATGATTTGCACAGCTCTAAAGGCCTTCGGTGCTGCTTTTTTGTACAGYGCTTCCAGCTGAAACAGAAAATATGCTTTAACAGCACAGTTATATCAACAAATGATTCTGGATGCTGAGGAAAAAAAGAATAATTGAAAGAGCTGTGGAAAAAAAACATCTTATTCCTCCGTTGTATCATAACATGAGTTGCGCAGTAAAAAATGAATAAATAATGTCAAAATGAAAAAAATATATAGAAAAAAAGTTTCTACCTGTGGTTGTAGTTTGCTGATGAATGCCAATGATTCTTTTGAACTTAAATTATTAAAAGCATTTTCAAAATTGATAAAGATTTCCAAAGTAATATTGACTTTTCGAGCTGGCACTGTTTCAGAATCTGGAAGAAAAGGTGAAATCATTCCAGACATCAGCAACAAAATGTTTGTTATATGAATGCATTTTGTGTGTTTTTAAAGGAACACTGTATAAAMTGTGAACAAAGGCAAAGAAAAAATACCAACGTGGACTAAAAAAAGTCAAAAAAATTTAGCATTTTGTGCTTTGACATTTTTACAACAAAAAAAATGTCTGTAGATCACAATTGCACTTTTTGATTCCAGATTGGCATATGAACTGATGAAAAAAAAAAAAAAAAAAAACAGAATGCCTTCTAAAATTTAAAGTTGTAAATCATATTTTGGTGTTTTATAGTTGTTTTGCAAATAGTTCCATTTGCACAGACATTTATAACTTGATAACAGCCACAACTATGTTTGGACAAGTTTGTTGATAAAACTGATCTAGAATAAAATACACTTACCAAAATAGACGGATGTGTTGTTTTGTAAACTTGAGCAGGTTTCTCCAAAAGCAAAGTTCGGACATAGGCACTGACAGCGTAAAAGAATCACATTATAAAAAGAGGTGCCTGAATTACACTCCAAGTCTGTACATGGAGGAGTTGTATGAAGTGTTGTCAACAATGTTGAAGCAGWGGAACGAGGGGCAGTTGTAAAATTTGACTGAATGTCTGTTGTTACAGATGGGAAACTGGAAGGAGATGTTTTGACAATTTTTTTATTTGTAGAGGAAGAAGGTTGATTTAAGGTAATTGATGTCATGCCGTTTGTGGTTACTACTGGCTTGGCTTGTGTTGATCTGATTGTTGTGATAGATGCAACAGTTGCAAAAGGTGTTGACATCTCTGTTGGTGATAACTTGGTTGAAATTATTTTGGTAGTTGCTAAGGTCTGTTTACTTTCTCCAGTGTTGGCACCAGTGGTTTTAATGTTGTGTGTGGAGAATGTTTGAGTAAAACCAGCGATCTCTAACAATGTTGTAGTTTCCATCTCATTTCTTTTGGTAAGCGGTGTTAGACTATTTGTGGCAAGCAAAGTTGTTGATTTAGTCGATTGTGCTGGTCCAGTGGACTTCTCAGTCATACCATTTGAAGACATCATATTTGTGCTCTCTGATGTTGTAACCTCATTTGTTGTTAATTTAAATGTCGATTCCAATGGACGAGTTGTTATGAAAGGAGCAAAGGAAATAACAGGTGTTGACCTTGTTGCTGTTGATAACATGGTTGAAACATTTTCCGTAGTTGCTAATGTCTGTTGACTTGTTTCAGTGGCAACAGTTGTATCAAACTTGTGTGTGGATGATGTTGAAGTAAAATCAGTGGTCTCTACTGAAGCTGTAGTTTCTGTCTCATTCCTATTGTTGATTGCCGGTAGACGGTTTGTGGCAAGCGGAGTAGTTGATTCAGTCAATAGTGTTTGTTCAGTGGATTTCTCTGTCATTTCAGCTGTAGACAGCATA